GTGGCCACCATGATGCTCCCGGCCACTCGGGAATGCCCAAGGTCACCTCAGCGTGTGCGTTTAGCGTGTCGTAATGTGGCTGGAATGAGGTTGGGAGGAGGAAACGCAAAGCCGCGGTCGTGCTGCCAGCTGAACGAAAAAGCGTCAAACACTGCGGCCGTAGGGTGTGGAATCTTGGAACAAAACCTCTCTAGCTGAGCGTTGTGCACATTTGCGAAGAGATCGATAGAGTGGGGACCCAGGCGGCGATCCAAGAGCCCAAACCACGGGGCTTTGAGGGAGTAGTCATCGTGGTCTTGGATTTTTTAAAGTTCGTCGGCGTGCGCATTCAGCTCTTGTGGGATCCATTCGACAGCTAGCCTTGTTTGGTGTTCCAGGCAGAGGCGAATGATTGCTTGACATAGTAGCGTAAGCGTGGGGTGGAGCGATCCACCTTTGCGTAGGATGAATACCACGCATTGATTGTCTACCCGAACGAGCACGTGGCGCTTGGGTATGCGGGCAGCAAAAGTTTGGAGAGCCCATAAAACTCCTTCAAGTTCCCGTCGAGTGCTGGAGGTGGGCAGTAGTTCCTCGGGCATGCGAGCACTGGCTTCAATGGGCGTCCCAGGAAGTTGTGTCAGGGTGGCGCCCCAGCTGTGTGCGCTTGCATCGACGTGGATAACAGCATCGAACTGGTGACTGAGATGGAATGGGATTCCGTTGAACTTGTCGAACTGCGCAAGCCAAAAACGCAGCTCGTGCACTGCTGTCGACGACAAGTGTGCCTTGGCGTGCCAGGAGGTGGCGTCTGCAATAAGTCGAAGGAGCTCGTGACTAAAGGCACGTGCCATAGCGCCCAATGCCAGATTCATGGAGGCCAGCATTCCTGTGATTCTCGCAAGGGACCGGATGGGAACCGGTCGTCCCTCTTGTCCCTGGGTGATGAGGGCTTGGAGTGAAGCAAAAAGTTGTGCTCGACGTTCGAGTCCGATGGAGAAGATGCCTTGGGCGGCATCAATCTCCAGGCCGAGGAAAGCTATCTGGCGCGAGGGGTGTAGATGTGACTTTTTGCCGTTTATAACAAAACCTGCTGCCTTCAGGTCCTGAACAACAGCTGCGCAGGTCGAGCGTGCATCCGAGTGGGAGTTGCAGAGGAATAGTAAGTCGTCGACATATGGAACAACCTGCACGTCGCTTGCCCGCCATCGCTTTGCCAGTTGTTTGTTCAGTTGTGTGAAGACGAACGAGGCAGTGGCAAGCCCGAACGGGAGTGATATGAAGGAATAGTAGTCTCCTTTGAAATGGAATCCCAAGAACTTCCAGCAGGAGGGGTGGATCTCGACATGGTGGTAGCCTGACTTTAGGTCGATGGAGAACATCCAATCGCCTGGGCGGATGAGTTCGGCTACCCTGTTCAAGCCTTCGTACTTGAACTTGGGGATGTCGAGGTAGTTGTTGATTTTGCGCAAGTCAAGAATGAGGCGACACTTGTCGCGCTGCTCCACCACGTTAAGTGGACTGACACACATGAGCGCGTCCTTCGTAGGGACCTTGACGGCGGCACCCGAGGTGACGAGGTCGCGAATCGCTCCACGAGTGAAGTCCAGGTGTGTGCGAACTCCAGCATAACTGCTATCCTCAAAGGCATGTGGCACGGATTCCTTCCAGGGAAGCCAATATCCTTTCGCGATGATGGACAGGATGAAATTGCTATCGCACCATGAGCACCACCAGTGTAGGGCGTGACGCAATCGACTATGCATGACAGTTACGTCCTTGTCTGTAACCGCGTACTCGTAGGGGTCATGTTCGTTGTGTAACCATCCTTTCCCGATCTCTGCTGGACCAAAGGGTCGGGTGGCAAGAATCACATAGGTACCCAAGTGAGTGAGACCAGACAATTGCCTAAAGGGTGGATGTGTCGTAGTCAATTCCAGGGGGGGCATAGCTCCCATTCAGTTGGCAAAGCGAGAGTGGGTTATGTTCAATTCCAAAAGGGGCATGGCTGATATTAATGCCTTCTCCCTTCAGCGCTCGAGCCTTCGTCACCTCTCTCTCTCTCTCTCTCTCTCTCTCTCTCTCTCTCTCTCTCTCTCTCTCTCTCTCTCTCTCTCTCAATCTCCCTCTCTCTCTATCTCTCTCTCTCTTTCTCTCTCTCTCTCTCTCTCTCTCTCTCTCTCTCTCTCTCTCTCTCTCTCTCTCTCTCACACACACACACACACACACTCACACATACACACTTTCTTTCTTTCTATCTCTCTTTTTCTCTCTCTCTTTCTCTTATGCTCTTTCCCTTTGCTTTCTCTTATGCTCTCTCTCTCTCTCATCCATTCTCTCTCTCTCTCTCTCTCTCTCTCTCTCTCTCTCTCTCTCTCTCTCTCTCTCTCTCTCTCTCTCTCTCTCTCTCGTTCTCTCTCTCTCTCTTTCTCTCGCTCTCTCTCTCTCTCTCTCTCTCTCTCTCTCTCTCTCTCTCTCTCTCTCTCCCTCTCTCTCTCTCTCTTTTCTCTCTCTCTCTCTCTCTCTCTCTCTCTCTCTCTCTCTCTCTCTCTCTCTCTCTCTCTCTCTCTCTCTCTCTCTCTCTCTCTCTCTCTCATCGAGGCCTTGCAAAAGTTTTTTTTTTTTTTTTTTTGCAATCTTAGTTTCAATGCACCATAACGGCATGCATGATCCATACATGGAATAACACAAGGTTCTAGGCCCACGGCCTTCTCTGCCCCTAGGGCTACCCTTGTCTACTAGGCCATTTGCCTTGTCCTAAGGCCGGCCACCAGCCATGCACCCCCGGTGCAGCCCAATATGCTTCTTGCATATTGGCGAAGGGCGCCGCCCTTACCCCAGCTCACACCCCCGGTGAGGGGCCTTGTGCTCCACGCCCGCCATGTGACCTGGCTGGCCACAGCGGAAGCACATGCCCTTGAAGCGTGGCTGCTGGCACGTGAGAGGGGGGAAGCCTTTGAGGTCCATTTCTCTGTCACGACCGCCGGGACGACCACCACGGGGGTAGATGGAGCGTGCGCACTTGAGTGCAGCCACGTCGACGACCGCCAGCTTGTAGGAACGGGACGTCAGCACACTCTGGGACTGGTAGAGCTGGAAACGATCAGCGGCCTCAAAGCCGGCCTCATCCGCCACGAGAAGCACCTCGAAACGCTTATTAATAAGCGTCTCGATGTGTTTCACGTTGTTGAGTGTGCCCGTGACGTTGCCGTGCTGCAACTCGAAGTCGATGTGCTACAGGTGCGCTTGGATAGTAGTGAAAACTTTGGCCTAGTCACGCACGCCCTTACGCATGAAGGTAGTTGCTGCGGGCGTAGGACCAAGGCGGGGCGGGGGCGAGAATACGATGGCGAGCAATATTGGCAGGAGCCTGACCATCATCGTTTTCATAGTCGTCGCTATTGTCGGTGTCGTTGGCGAGTGCGGGAGTCGGTGCCGGGGGCTGGTTGTCGACGCGCGGAGCTTTCGGCGCGCGAGTAGGTGGTGGCATTTCTTTCTTCTTGGAGAAATTGGTCGTAGCAGTTATATTGTCGGAAGATGTTTCGAGCGTAACATTCGGCTGCTGGTATAACAACGCCAGAAGCGCATGTGACCTGGCTGGCCACAGCGGAAGCACACGCCCTTGAAGCGTGGCTGCTGGTACGTGAGAGGGGGGGAGTCTTTGAGGTCCATTTCTCCATCACGGCCGCCGGGACGACCACCACGGGGGTAGATGGCGCGTGCGCGCTTGAGTGCAGCCACGTCGGCGACCGCCAGCTTGTAGGAACGGGACGTCAGCACACTCTTGGACTGGTAAAGCTGGAAGCGATCAGCGGCCTCAAAGCCGGCCTCATCCGCCACGAGAAGCACCTCGAAACGCTTATTAATAAGCGTCTCGATGTGTTTCACGTTGAGTGCGCCGGTGACGTTGCCGTGCTGCAGCTCGAAGTCAATGTGCTGCACGTGCGCTTGGATAGCAGTGAAGACTTCGGCCTGGTCGCGCACGCCCTTACGCATGAAGGTAGTTGCTGCGGGCGTGGGACCAAGGGGGGGAAGTGGGGGGGCGGGGGCGAGAATGCGATGGCGAGCAATATTGGCAGGAGCCTCACCATCATCGTTTTCAGAGTCGTCGCTGTCGTCGGTGTCATTGGCGAGTGCGGGAGTCGGTGCCGGGGGCTGGTTGTCGACGCGCGGAGCTTTCGGCGCGCGAGTAGGTGGCGGCATTTCTTTCGTCTTGGCGAAATTGGTCGTAGCAGTTATATTGTCCGAAGATGTTCCGAGCGTAACATTCGGCTGCTGGTGTAGCAGCGCCAGAAGCGCCTGGAGCTGTTGTGCGGCCAACGCGGGGGCGGCGGAGGCTGGCACGACCTCGTCAAAGGGCGTGTGCTCGGTGGGGCCCGCGTGGCCTGCAGCCGTCGCGACGTGTGCAGGCGCGTGGTCCTCCGTTGGCAGCTCGCGCGGCTGCTTCGCAGCCGCGCGAGTTTCTTCTGGAGCAGCGCGATTGGCGCCAAGCAGGACCTCGACAGCCGAGGGCCCCTCGCCAAAAATTTCCTCAGCAGGACGTTTCTGGCGACGGGCGGTTGCCCCGGCCGAAGTTCCGGGCTCCACGGAATTGTTGGGGTTGTTCGTCGGGTGATTCGGAGTCGTGTTCGCCGACGCCATGTTAGCGAGGTTGTGCTGCAAAATGTAGGTGAGGAGCGTCGTCGGAGCCTTGCCTCGGGGGAGGGACTGGGTCTTCGCCAGGTTGGACGAGAAACAGCGGAAATTGAACCAGAGAAACTAGAAATGAAGAACGTGGGTGAGGCCGAATGGCCTCACGTCCCTCTTTTGTAGGCAAAAGAGGGTGAGTAGCGCTTCGTTGCTGCCTTTGCTGCGTTGGCCCTCGCTACACTCTCACAATACACATTTTTAGAAAGTGTTACACACTTTCAAAAAATTACATATATATATATATATATATATATAACTTAACACACTCCCTAGGCTTGGTAGTAGAAGAACCCACACACACCCACACCCCCTGACCTAGCACCCCCATTCCCAGCAGAAGCCACGATTACTCCGGTATGGCCAATCCCCGGGGCCCGTGAGATGGCAACGGCGGCAGCGGCGGCAGTGACGACAGCGGCGGCGGCGACGGCGTGCGGCGGCAACAGGCCAGCGGCAACAGCAGCGGCGGCAGCGGCTTCGACGTCAGAGGCGACTGCAGCGGCCCCCGCCCTCTCGGCGGCGTGGCCAAGCTCCGCGACGATGGGGAAGACCCTCACGAGTCAGGCGTCGACTGTGGCAAGGAAGAGGGGACGCAGGGGAAAAGTGGGGGGGGGGGGGGGGGGGGGTGGTTTAGAATCACCGCAGCACGACGCGGCCGCCATGGCAGCGCGAGAGGGAGAGAAGGAGTGCACGGCGGAAGCGTGGGGAGCAGGCCCGGGAAGGGCAACCTGCTCTGATACCATGTTACGAAAGCTAGGAACAGTAGGAAAGGTTGGCGGCCATGGAATGGCGTGAGGGTTTAGCTAGGAGAGAAGTTGACGAGAGAAAAGAGATCGAGAATAGAAGAGAGAGGGATACAAGGAGGGGGGTTGTACCCTCAACAGTAGGTTTCAGTAACACCTACCAAGCTTACCAATTATATAATATATATATAATTTAACAGACTTCCAAGCAAAAAAAACCCTTAGCAGTAAAGGCATGGTGCTATGGAGTCCCTAAGCAATGGTGAAATGCTGGTGCTCCACGAAGTGATGCCGCTCGGCCCGCTCCAAGGCCTCCATACTCCAGATGGAAATCCTCCCGCTGAATGCGCTGCAGCAGCGAGAAGGTTTATCTTTATTCGTCTCAAGAACCTTCTATCAAATGCTGGTGCTCCATGAGGTTGTGCCGCTCCCATAGCTCCATACTCAAGATCGATATCATGCAGCTGAATGCGCTGCAGCAGGGAGCGAAGCCGACTGAACGCTGATGCTGATGCCGATGCTGATGCCGATGCTGATACACACACTATACCCGTTCGTCTCAGATCGGCTCTCACGCTTCCACAGGGCGAGGCGAGGAGGAGAGCATGTGAGCCACGGCAGAGAGAGAGGCCGACGAGTCGAGCCTGCCCTCCCCAGTAGCAGCAGCAGAAGCCACGGCAGCCGCCAGGTTCATCCCGCTCCGGACCGCCAGCGGAGCCGGTTTGCTGCTCCGCTGCACACCGCCGGACCGCTGCCTTCTCAGACCCATGGAGCCCTGCTGCTGCTGCTGCTGCTGCTGCTGCTGCTGCTGCCGTGCCTGCCAGTCCATCTCTGAAGGGGGTCGGGCGGGGGAGGAAGCAGAGCCAAAGGAGAGTTCCACCGCCATCTCCTGCTGCTCACTAATAGCGCTTCTCCCAGGCACGCTGCCGTCAGCACCTCTACGCTCGCCAGTGCTGTTAGCGTTACTGCCATTACTCCCTCTGCTGCTGAAACCCCCGCTGTTGTGGGTTGAATAGCTGCTGCTACTGTCGGTGGAGTAGCTGCCGCCATTCCCACCAGCCAGGGGAGGTTGAGGGAGAGGTGCAGCCCCAGCAACAAGCGTTCCACCCAACCCACATGCCCCATGTGCCCCATATGTCCCATGTGCCCCGTTTGCCCCTTGTCTGGTATTGAAGGGAGGCTGGGAGGGAGGCTGGGAGGAAGTGTAGGAGGAGGTGGCAGCCCCAGCGGCAGCAATGCTAGCAGCAGCACTACCGGCAGCAGCCGCTGCCCCTCCCCCACTATCGTTTTTTGGCACCCCCCTGCCTCTGAAAGTGGGCGTCTCGCACTCCCGGCCCTCCATGAATGGGCCTGAGTGTGGCGCAGGCAGCACCAGAGACCCACTGCTGCTGTCCTCAAGGTGAGGTGAGGGGTGTGTGGGGGAGTGTGATAGAGGGTGTGAGGGGGGGAGTGTGGGGTGATGAGGGGGTTGAGCGTGATGGGGTGGAGGGTAGGAGGAAGAGGAGGAGGAGGTAAAGGCTGCGCTGTGTGCTCGGGACTTGTGCAGCATGTTGACCATGGAGGGGGTCTGGAGGGGAAAGGGAAGCAAAACAAAACAAACGCACACGAGGAAAAACAAAAGAACAAAAAACAGAAGGGAACAAAAAAAAAAAAAAAAAAAAAAAAAAAAAAAAACTATGAGGAGGAGGAAGGGTATGCCGTGCTCTTGCAAGGTTAATGCGTGCACAGGTGGGGGAAAGGACTCCGGAGTAATAGGGGGGAGTCAAGACTGAAGTCATTGGAAAATATGCTGGCAGACGAAAGGGGTAACGGGCCAATGAAGAGTGCACACCATGTAGTCAAGTCCTGCACTATCTGTTGCCATCCCGCCCCCCCTCGTGTTGGCTCGTTGCAGCAGATGGGCGGACTGGGCTGAGAGCGCGTACGCCAGGCCTGCTCCCTTGTAAGTCTGAGGGGAGGGGAGGGGAAGGGGAGATAGGAGGGACGCATTTTGAGGTGCTGGGCTGACTGGGGTGAGCTGACACAGAGGCCAGACCTGCGACTTTTGAGTGATTTTTGAGTCAACTCAAAAGTCACCTTGCATGGGCGTGCGCATTGCCTGTGCTGGAAGCTTTTGAGTGATTTTCTAGTCGACTCAAAGTCACCTGAGGCCAGACCTGCTCGCTCCCTTGCACGTCTGAGGTATTGGCCAAGGCAGATGGTCCGGGAGGCATAGAAAAGGGTTTGAATTAGCACATGCCACAAACGGAGAGAAGAAGCACTGTGTTTGATTGCGTACAGTGCTCATAACGCTTGTAACCCACACATCCTGCTCGATGTTTTGCACGAGCTCTTCAAATGCCTAGATGCATCATCACATGTGATTGGTGTAACATGTAACTGATGTTTACAGTGTCAAGCATGGCACACCCCCTCACCTGCATGTTGCACATCCTTCTCTCTATCTCCAGCAGCTCGTCAATCAAATGCCTGGATGCCTCATCCCCTTGCTGCCACAGGAGAGAGGAGGTGACAGCAAAGATACACAAGATAAAACGGGACGTCTGGAAGCGAGGTGCAAGACGTGGGAGATAGACATCTGCCTACGGAACAGGGGACGGTAAGAAACAGGCGAGTACTCCTTGCCTTCCTGCTGCACAGCTTGGAAAGATCTTTGCACTTAAGAAACTGTACTCTTGACCCACCTGCATGGCATATGATGCCTCGATGCCTGCTACCCCTTGCTGGAAGGTGCGCTGCGCCGCCCCCAGATTGCCACCCTCCGCCTGCTGCAATGCCTGCAGGGCAGAAGCAGAGTTGGGGTCCGGCAGGAACGGTGGGGAGTGAGGCAAACGGTTGCTGTCCGGTAGGACAGGCAGGAAGGAAAACATGAGGGATTGGGGTGCGGTGGAGAGGGATTGAGAGGGAGCAGGGGGTGGAGTGGAGGGAGTCGATCAGAGGGAGAGGAGATGGTGGTGAACTGGTGAAGAGAAGGAGGGAGGAGGAAGAGGAGGGTCGGAGAGAGGAGAGTGGGGAAATGGTGGAATAGAGATCTTAGTTGCTACAAACGCGTTTGGCGTTTGAACGCTAAACGCTTGTCATAGTGTATGTGAACGCTAGGCAAACGCTTGCCCGGGCAGGGCTAAAATTTTTGCCCGGGCAGGGGTAAAAATTTCCTGTGGGGGGGTGGGGAAATGGGGGTTCTGCAAGCAACCATTTCGTCCAAGAAAAATAAATCCGTCATGAACATTTATGGGCGCTCGCCCAGAAAAATAAATCCATCATACTAGAACGCGGAAGTATTTATAGACCTCATGGTTCTTATCCGCCTCGTACGCATTAGAACATGCGGACGCTGTAACAGCAATATCCGCATCGCTCTCAGGGGTTGATATGGGAGAGCGCCCTTAAATTAAGGTATTGCGTGGGGTGTGAAAGTTGCTACGGCTATGGCGCGCGGCAATTAGAAAGCACATCTGACAGGGGGAAGGAGATTGGGAGTTAGCGTGACACTACGAGATGTGAGGAGGGGTTGGAAGCTCTAGTTGACGATGTGTGGAGTGCGGTTGGGGGGGGGGAGTTGGTTGGGAGGTGAATATTGACGAGATGGTTGGGAGTTGGGACTTGGCGAATGTCGCGCTGAATTCGCCAAGTCTCAATTTCGCCCTAATCTTTTTCGATTTTTTTTCCAGGGGGCAGCCCGAAAAAAAAACCCAGCGAGCGTTTGCGTTTAAGGGCTCGTTTGGCGTTTGCGTTCAAACGCAAGCGTTTGAACGCTAAACGCGCGTCTGCCAGAGCGTTTGTAGCAACTAAGATAGAGATGTGTCGAGCGAGTGCTGCTGCATACCGCAGTGATGCATTTGGTGGCGGCGAGTCGGTTCTTCTGCCGCTCCAACGCCATGGGAGGTGCTTTCTTCTTCCTCCTCTGCTTCGCCGCCTCTCCCAGCCTTCGCCTGCCAGACACCCTTCCAGAATCCATCCTTCCAGACTCCATAGCGCCTGATACTGGTGATGTGCCACGTGATCGACCTCCTGCTGACATCCCACCCTGCTGCTCCCCGCTGTCCCACCCGCCTGCGGCTGCTAGAGCTGAGGCGAAGCTCTCACGACCACCACTTTCCGGGCCATTCCCCATGTCCCCTTGCACATGCCCATACTCCTCCTCCTGCTGCTGCTGCTGCTGCTGCTGCTGCTGCTGCTCATCATACCACTCCCCTTCATCACCCTCCTCCCACATTCGCCCTTCCTCCTCCCACTCCCCCATTCCCTCTTCCTCCTCCTCCTCCTCCTCCTCCTCCTCCTCCTCCCCCCGTGCTACAGCCAGCTCCACTAGTGGCGTGCGGTGCGTGTCTTGGAAGAGAGGCCGGCACCGGTAGCTGCAGCGCGCTCGCAGAATGCGACTCATGTCGCGCTGCGCTGCTGACGTGTCCCTGGCCCTCGATTCGTCCTGTGGAAGGGATGCGAAAGAAATAGTGAGGAGTCATATTTCATTTTCCTAAAAACTCATATTTCCTACCCCTCTTCCTCCCTCCTCCTCCTCCTCCTTCTCTTCCTCCACCTTTCCCCCCTCCCTCAATCACATACTCCACGTGTCATCTCCTAAACACTTCCAGCATCGCAGGCCTCTCCTCCGCATACAAGTCTCCACTCTATCCGCATCCAGTATCGAACGACTTGGCACCTGCCTCCCGAAATCCCTTGCCACTATTCCTCACGAACCCACCTTATCATCGTCCCCGCTTGCCCCCCTCCCCCGGCCTCTCTCCCTCCAATCACGTGCCTCCACGTGTCGTCTCCTCCACACCTCCAGCATCATATGCCTCTCCCTCTCCCCCACTGTGCTCCCATACCCCACTAGTGACTTCCCATCTGGCTCAAAAGCGACGCAGCCACTGTTCCCCTCGTGCTTACCTTACCATCCCCTGTCTCCTCCAATCACGTACCTCCACGTGTCGTCTCCTCCACACCTCCAGCATCACATGCCTCTCCTCCTCCGCATACAAGTCCCCCAGCAGCACCGCCCCATCCCGCTCCTTCTCCCCCACCCTGTACGCATAACCCCCCGCATGTACTGCCGCGATCTGCCACCCGGGGAGATCCGATCCCACGGCGAAGGAGATTTTGGCCTCTTGGATAACGACGGACAGCAGGCCGCCCAGGCACTGCGCAAAGGCGGCCGTCACGCCGACCGGCTCCTCGACGAATGAGAAGACGCCAGCTGTGTCGGCCGCGATGGCGTGGAGTGCGGCAGCGTCGTGGTCAGCGCCGAAGCCGAAGGTGTGCACTGGGACCAGACGACGGGAGGAGGAGGAGGCGGAGGAATTCTGAGAGGAGTTTTTGGAGCGGGTCATCTGGCTGGGGAGCAGGCGGCTGTAGCTCTGCTTGGAGTGAGTGAGAGAGCTGGGGGGTGATAGGTGAATGGGGGGCGTGGGGAGGGGTGGGGAGAAGGGGGGATGAAGGCAGGAGATAGGGAGTGAGAAACGAGACATAGGAATATAAAAAGACGTGCGTGGTGAGATGGGAAGGAGGAACAGGAGAGAGGGAGGGACGGGAAGCTCTATGGAATTTGAAAGGGTTGAAAAGAAGCTCCTTTTTGAATTCCCTGTAAGGAATCAATCTTCCTCACTACCCTCCACTCACCAACCCGTCCCCTTCTCCTGCTCTCACCGTCTGCGTGCTTCCCCAACCTGACATTCTGTCTCCAAATTCCTTCTCACCTTCCTACCCCCTCCTAACCCCTCTCACCTGTACCCAAACCCCTTGTGGCTGCAGGTGGCGGTGTCCAGCCCGTCAGACAGCAGCGTGATGCTCGCCACCGGGTACCCCTCCTGCCTCTCCTCCTCATCGTGTTACCCTCACTCTACCTGCACCCAGAGCCCTACTCACTCACATCGGTTTCCGTGTCGCACCTGTATCCAAATCCAGCCTCACCTATACCCGAACCCCTTCTGGCTGCAGGTCGCCGTGTCCTGCCCGTCCGACAGCAGCATGATACTCGCAACCGGGTTTTTCTCCCGCCTTTCCTCCACCACCCTTAGCGCCTTGAGCATCCCCTGGGCGATGTTCGTCCCGCCCCCTGCCACCAGCCCCCGCACCTTCCCCTCCGCCTCCCCCCTCCCCGTCTCGTTCATCCTCCTAAGGGGGGTCACCCGGTGTGCTTGTGACGAGAATGTGATTATGGAGAGGCGGTCGCGCGGGCCAAGCTGGGAGATGAGAAAGAGCATGGCCTGCTGTAGCAGCTGTAGCTTGGGGCCATGCATGCTGCCGCTCAGGTCCAGGAGTGTGACTAAATCGATCGGCACTCTAAAGGAGTGCGCAACGGAGGAGGCGGAGGAGAAAGCAGTAGCAGTGGCGTCACTGTCAGTATCATCGGTAGTGGTCGGAGTGAGGTCAGCAGAGGGAGGGTCGAGAGGAGGGGCTTTAAGAGTGAGCAACACAGTGTAGCACTCGGAAACTTCCATGAAAGGTGGAGGGACACGCTCAGCACACACGGACAGCTGGACAGGGAACGAGGCGTTATCTGAGGGAGGCGCCTTCTGGGGCTGGGAGAAGGAGGGCGGGGTGGAGGAGGGGGGGTCAGAGGAGGGAGGGGAAGGCAGGGGCGGCTGAGAGGGGGCGGCAAGAGGTTCGAGGTGGGAATTTGCTGGTGGAGTGCTGCTGGGGGGAGTGGCAGCGTCAGCAGTAGTGGCAGCTGGAGTAGCGCTGGGAACTGCCATGGCACTGGCGGCAGCACTGCCTTGAGTGCTAGGACCAGCCAGGGCCTCCTGCACAGCAGCACCAGCAGCACCAGCATCATCAGCAGCACCAGCAGCACCAGCAGCACCAGCAGCACCAGCAGCACCAGCAGCATCAGCAGCATCAGCAGCACCAGCAGCACCAGCAGCACCAGCAGCACCAGCAGCATCAGCAGCATCAGCAACATAAGCAGTAACTCCAGCAGCATCTCCCCACGAATTGCCTGCTTCCGTCGTGCTCTCCTCAGGCTGCACTGCAGCATCTGCAGCAAGCTGTGCCTCTTCACCAGCAATGGCACCAACTCCCATAGCAGCAATAGCAGCAGCCATAGCAGCAGTTTCAGTGCGCTCTGCTGAGGGAGCAGCAACCTCGTCCCCCTCAGCTGCTGCACTTGGACCAGCTGTAGCGTCGCTGTTGTCTTCAGCCGTTGCTATAGCAGCAGCGCTCGTTGTACCACCTGCAGAAGCGCCATCTGCAAGGCCCGCTGGAGTGCCTCCTGTTGGAACAGACGCAGCAGCAGAGGAAGCGCCAGAGACAGAGACAGAGACAGACAACGTGTGCACTGGGCGTGATTCCGGACCCGCGGGCTCAACAGCAGAGAGGCGCGAGGGAGGGCGTTGAGTGCCTGCCACACCAGGCCCAGACCCGGAACCTGGACCATCAGCAGCAGTGGCAGCCCCCGCAGGAGCAGCCGCATCGCCAGCGCCAGTAGAAACAGCAGCGGCGGAAGCAGAAGCACGAGGCGCAGCAGCAGGGGGGCTGAAGAGGCTCTGGTCGTCGTTGTACTCACGAGGGGAGTCATCTGCCACCACTTGCCCTTGCTGCCCCCCTGTCCCCACCACTCCCTGTCCCCCTGCTTGCCCCTGTCCCCATCCCTGCACCTGCCCCTGCGCCTGCCCCTGCGCCTGCTGCTGACCTGGCAGCAGCATCTGGCGCCTCACCGGATGGATGGCGGCGAGAGGCTGCAGACTGCCACGTGTCAGAGGCGCATAGGCTGGGCCAGTCCTACCCGCCCTTGCGTCCGCTCCCTCGTCCCCGTGCACGCCGGGCAAAGGCATGGCATGCACTGCCTGGCTGGCAGGAGGAGGGGTGGGGAGGCTGGAGGCCGTTCTAAGGCTGCCACTGCTGCCGATGCCACTGGTACTGTTGGGGTTGGCAGCATGGGTACTACCAGCAGCGTCAGTGTTGGCAGTACCGCCCCTGCTGCTGCTGCTGCTGCTGCCACTGATGGCGCCGCTGCCGCTTTTAGAGCGAGGGAGGGCAGTGGTGGCCCGGGAACGACCCAGGGACAACTCGTGCGCCACACTTGATGCCTGCCTCAGCAGGTTCTGCTGCTGCAGCTGAGGCGGTTGTGCCAGGAAACTGCTGGTGCTGCTGGTGCTGCTGCCAGGGATAAGCTCCCCATATGGAGCCCTAGCTGACTCTCCGTCAGCCACTGTTGCAGTTTCCACTGTGCCTTCACCCTGCCGGCCGCCCATCCACGCTTGCAGGGATGTCGTGCTGTCAGGATCCTCACATGACGTGGCAGCTGACGTGGCAGGAGGCGACGGCAACAGTGCTGCTGCTGCTGTTGCTGGTGGTACCCCTGGTGCCGCTGCTGCTGTTGCTGTCGGTTGTCCTCTGGGCGCTGTCGTTCCCTCAGCACCTTGAAGGGGGGATATGGCCGCAATTGATGAAGACATGTGTCCTGGACCACTTATTGGCACCGAAACCGATTGGTGTGAACAGTGTGGTCCCCTCCCCTGCCCCCCACCCCCTTCCCTGCCTGCAGCTCCCCCTCCTGCTTCAGCCCTCTCCCTCTCCCCACCCCCCTGACCCGCCCCTCCCCCTCTCCCCTCGCCCTTGCTCCTCCTCATTGCCGCCCAAGCCTTGGACTGGGCGGCAGTAGCTGCCGCCCAAATCTCCCCAGAATCGTAAGTGCCGCTGGTGTCTGGACTGCCAGGGCCTTCCTCTGTGTAGGGATCTTGTGCAGGGTGCAGGTACATCTGGACAGGCACAGTTGCTGTTGCTGCAGTGGTGGGAGGGGCGGTAGCAGTGGTAGAAGCAGCAACAGCAACGCCAACCACACGTTGCTCCGGGAAGGGGAGGGTACTGGTGAACGCAGCAGCAGGAGGGGAGGGGTGGGAGCGCGGGGAGACAGAGGCGAGCATGTCAGGTGGAGAGGAGGAGCGAGTGCAGGTGTGCCGGGAGGAGGAGGAAGAGGAGGAGGGGGAGGTTAGGGTGGTGATGACAGGAGTGATGGTGGTGCTGGTAGACGAGCCAGAGGAGGAAGCGGCGGAAACGAAGCCACCACCGGCACCACCAGGGGAAAGAGCCGGAGTAGCAGCGGCAGCAGCTGGGGCGGGGGCGGGGGTAGCAGGGGAGGGGGCAGCAGGGGGAGGGGCAGCGAGGGGAGGGCCCATCCAGGGCACCTCATGCCAGCGCTTGCGACAGAGCGGGCAGGCGGAGTGGCCGTGGCGGACATTGGCGGTGATGCAGTGGAAGTGGAAGGTGTGGCCGCACTCCGCTGTAAACAGGGCGTGACCGCCTCCTGCTCTCTGACGTTCCAAGCAAATAGCGCACACACCCTGCAGGAAGAACGACAGGGAAAGGCAGGCGTGAGAAGAGACAGTGGGAGAGAGTGAAGGGCGTTGGCGGTGATGCAGTGGACGGGGACGGTGTGGCCGCCCGCACTCCGCTGTAAACAGGACGTGTCCGCTGCACCAAAGCAAATCGCGCACACACCCTGCAGGCAGAAGAAAGGGGAGTCAGGGAGGGGGAGATTGGAAAGCCAGCGCACGTTGGCAGTGATGCAGTGGAAGTGGACGGTGTGACCGCACTCCGGCGTGAAGAGAGTGTGGCCCCCACCCACCTGTTGCCGCTCCAAGCACATGGCACACACGCCCCGAGGGAGGGTATGCCAGACAGGGAAGGGGATGTTAGACAGAGTGAAGGGCGTTGGCGGCGATGCAGAGGAAGTGAAAGTTGTGGCCGCATTCCGCTGTCGCCGATCACATTGACCACTACCCCACTGGACAACATGGACTCACCATCAGCTCCTAGCTCACCTTCACACCTACCAGCACCACCCGCACCACCTCACCCCTGACTCCGTACCATCTCACTCACCTTCATGCCAGCACCGCCAGAGCCGTCGTCGATCATGTTGACCACCTCGCCGCTGGACGACATCGACTCGTCGCTGCCAAAGCTGTGATCCAGCTGAGCTAGAGCACGGGGGGACAGCGCAGGGGGCACCGCCGACAGAACCGCTCCCCCGCCTCCTCCTCCTCCTCCTCCTCCTCCTCCTCCTCCTCCTCCTCTCCTCCTCCTCCTCCTCTCCTCCTCCTCCTCCTCCTCCTCCTCCTCCTCTCCTCCTCCTCCTCCTCCTCCTCCTCCTCCTCCTCCTCCTCCTCCTCCTCCTCCTCCTCCCTCGCCCCTTCCCCCTCCGATTCCTCCCCCCCCTGCTCCTCCTCTTCCTCCTCCCCCTCCTGTTCCAGCTGGTGTGATCGTAGCTGTTGATATGGTGCGGCTCCGGCCTCGAATGAAGCTACTGCTGTTGCTGCCCATGTTGCCGATGCTGCCGCTCACAAACCCAACCCCACTGCCGCCGCCACCATTTGCACCACGCCCACCACCGAAGGTGCTGCTAGTGAGCCCGGTGAGGGCGGCCAGGCCAGGAGAAAGCCCAGCTGTCAAGCCACCTGAGTGGGACACCAGCGACCGCCGCCTACCATGCGGCATGCCACCTGCACCAGCTATGCCAGCTCTGCCACCTGTGCGACCTATGCTGCCTGTGCCAGGACCGCCTCGTTGACCACCGTTGACTTGCCCGGACGAGGTTTGACCGGTGGAGTGGGAGTAGCCACCGAGGTTGCTGGCCCCCGGCTGTAGCTGTGGCTGTAGCTGTGATTGTTGCTGCCGGCCCAGCAGGCCTCCTCTCTCCCCTACGAGAACCACACTGTGGGAAGCACCGCGTCTCTTGCCTGGCATAGCCTGCCCCATCGACTGCTGCTGCTGCTGTGGCTGCTGCGGCTGCAGTGGCTGTAGCTGCTGCTGCTGCTGTTGTTGCTGCTGGTACTGGAGCTGGTATCGACTCATTGGAGACCTCTCTGCAGTGCGGAACGTGCCTTCCTCTATAGTCACACTGGGCGGCAGGAGCCTGGAAATAGTGACCGCCCGGCCCCGGAACAACACCCCCCTCCTCTCCCTCTCCTCCTCCTCCTCCTCCTCCTCCTCCTCCTCCTCCTCCTCCTCCTCCTCCTCCTCCTCCTCCTCATCATCATCCTCATCCTCATCAATTCCCTCCTCTCCTCGGCCCTCTGCCTGACCCAAAACGTCTCCCTCCACTGCACTCTTAGACCGGCTGTGCTGGTGGCCGCCTGGGCTTACAGCGGAGGAGGTGGGAGCCCCTGAAGGCGGAGGAAGAGTGCCGCGCGGTATAGTCACAGCTGCCGCTGCTACAGCCGCCGCTGCAGCTACAGCCGTGCTTCTGCCAGGTGGAGACTGGAGAGGGGGGGTTCCGGTACTGGTTACAGGGTTACCACATGCAGAGGAAACAGCAGCTGAAATCGAGACGGCGGCAAGACCCTGGGAGAGAACCAGCTGCTGCTGCTCCCGAACCATTTGGGTCGACTGCGCTGACGTCAGCGGCAGCGTGCTCCGCCGAACGAGCACCCTCGGGGACGTCTCCGAGCCTCCTCTGGGTCGGCCTGCAAAGGACGACACTTCAGACACCCTCTCCTCCTGGAAATATGAGACCAGGCCGGAATTGAACTCGAGACCTATGGAGTCCCTGAAGCTCCGCGAACCTTGGTCCAAAACCCCTTGGGCATCCCGGAAGCCTTGGGAAGTCCCAATCCCTTGGGAATCCCGGAAGGACACATGGGGGCCGGGAGGACTGGGGGAGCGGACAGACGGAGACGAGTGCTGAACCGGCGACGGATTCACGCCCAGTCTCCTGCTGCTTGAAGTGACTGTGCCAGAAGTGCTTGCGAAGGGGGCGCCGGCTCCAGAACCGGGCAGGGGAGACAGGGAGGGAAGCGGCACTGACACAGGGTCTAGGGATGCTGATGGTGGGCCTGCTGCCGCCGTGCCGGCCGCTGTCAGGCCGGCAGTTCCGGTTCCAATTCTAGTAGCAGTGGCAGTTCTGCTCTGGTGAGGGCCGCTGAAGAAAAAGGGCTGCTGCTGCTGCTGCTGCTGCTGCTGCTGCTGCTGCTGTTGGGTCTGCTGCTGCTGCTGGTGGCGCTGTTTCTGGTGCGGCGAAGAGTGGGAGGAGGAGGACTGCGACGACGAGTGCGACGACAGAGGCGACGGCTTCTTGTTGCTGGAGGAGGAGGAAGAGGAGGAGCCACCGCCGAGCATCGCTCTGTAGAGCCGCTGAAACGGCTTGCGGAACCCCGAACTCACGCTGGCACCACGGCTCCCAGCAGCGGCGGCTGACGCTGCGCCGCCCACGCACCCCTCCATGGCGGGCGATTTGGGCGACGGCGGCGAAGCATATGCTGCTGTTGCAGCATCCTGGTAACCAGGGGTGTTTTCGCCGCCGATTTCGGGGTCCATGTGGGAGCGGTAGGAGCCCCGCTGCTGGTGATCGTCGTGCATGGTTGGTGCTGCGGGGTTGGGTGCTAGGAAACTAGAGCAGAGAATCCAAATAAGAGGGACCGCAAGAGAGAAACCAGGTAAGAGGGACCGCAAGAGAGAAACCAGGTAAGAGGGACCGCTAAGCTCGTGTTCAGGCTCGGTGTTTGCTACACGTCGTCGCTTGACTCGTGGAACGTGACATGCGCAAGAAAGGCTCGCGGTGAGCAGGCCGACGCAGCCCTGAGAGTAGCTACTGGTACTCTGTTACGGTATTAGCTCAAACACTCTCAGTTTGAGGATTAAAATATTGACTTCCATGGACACCCCTGGGTCGGTCATACTGTGGGGAGAGTCAGACCACCAACAGGGGGGTGCTCAAGAAACTGATTACTGACTCCTCTTAGTAAAAGCAGTGCCGTTGATTCAAAGCGACAGGTGACTCAGACAGGTCCGCACTGCCATGTTCATTGCTAAGGCTCGCAGGGTGGAGGCTCCAGGGAAAAATGAACTCTCGCGGGGAATTCTGCTGCAAGAAAAGCAACCTGAGAGTGAGTTTTGTTCTACCGAAGAGCACCAGAAAGCACTCGGATTCGATCGGGAAGGAGCCATTGAAGCAGCATCATCAGGGTTGGAAATAAGGGTTGAACCTCACAGCCACAGCTGACCTCCGAGGTTGGTACGGGGTCATTTCAGTCAGATAGTAGCGAGGTGAAACCGCGAAATGATGGGCCCATGAAACCGCCGCTGGAGTCGCGGACTTCGTGTCGGACGCTATTACACCCGATAGAACCGCCGATGCCAGGCGCAGAGCGGGCCGCGACCTACTAGTTCAGCACGACTGCTGGTGATTTAAATCGTCGTCGCCCACAGCGATGTCATCGCGAAAGGGAGCCTAGCGTTATTTGTAAAGTTTTCTCTTGCCGGCGGTGGAGGATCTCCATCAGTCGTTTGTATTGATGCGTCCTATAGTCGAGCTCTCGACCGCCGCTCGTCAGAATCGCTGCCCGGCGGGAAAGAGTGAATAGTACTATTGGAAGGGCTTCGTCCGACTCGGATCGGTTTCCTGGTCTGACTGAATCGCTGCAACTCCAACCGCAAAGATCGGAGCAACTGAAGCATCCCCGCGCGTGCTGGTGGGCGGCGGTTGCTGCGTGCAACTTGAAGCACCACCAGGAGGCTCCGCGCTCCAACTGCAATCGAACCATTTCCGTTGCGATGCTACGTCCGTAAAAATAGGGAACTGTGGCGTGATGTGTTAGCCTTCCTGATCTGTACAGCGATTCACTGTTGAATGAGCGACATACTGTAGTGGTCCAGCGTGGCAGACAAAAGGAAGGATGGATTTTTGGAGGGGAGAGGTGAGGCAGGAGAGGACAGAGGAGCGGTTGAGGGAGAAAATACGAGGAATGAAGGCGAAGGGTTTTGCGAATCGACTGGGGCAGGGCAGCTTTGCTGCAGGACAGGAAGCCTGTTCAGGGTCCTGTGAACAGAATGGGGCAGCGAATCCCCTCCCCTCCCCCCCAGACTCGCCCCCAAACCACGAAGCACATTCCCAAGGCGTTCTCAGGCCTTGTTTCTCAAAACAAGTAGCCGAACTTCGTGTCTCTTGGGTCCAATAACCAGAGCAACATACACCGATTGCATAACGCACTCGGTTTCGGAATTTAACAGATCAAAACCCAAAATAGAGCTCACATGTCTCTGTCAGGGCTCGCTTCGAGCGAAACTGGTGTGGTTTGAGATGAGAGCAAAGTGAACCATGCTCTAAGCTCATGCAACAGTGCTTACTGTATTGAAAATGCTCGGCTCCACTTCACTCGTGTCATCTTGGCAGATAGCTTACGAGCTGTAGCGGGACTTGATTTCCAAGACTTAGGTAAGTCCAAGAGAATTCAAGCGCAATCCAGGACTTCGCCCGCACTTACAAAAGCTATGGTGTGCAAGTACAGCCGTCTTTCAGTTGTCGCAAAAGGGCATCCAACCTCGCGAGTGAGAAGGCACAGCGCAAGCAACGCTAGAGAACGAATGACTGGACGACGAGCTTTGACAGCAGCAAAACCAGAATCATGCGGCGCGGTTCGGCAAACGGTTGCTTTTCCCTGAGACGGTTGGACTCCTTACAAGTCTACGCGACCCCATGTTGGGTACGGCAAGGAAATGATATTTCCTTATCACGGGTTTTAGTTAGTCAGGCGTACAGTGCTAAAACAGGGTTGCCACGCAGCTCTTCCACTAAATTCAAATTGCGGTACCCAAATGTGGCACCCTGACGAGCCAAATGCATTTTTCCCGCCTTGCTGTTTCATGCCTAGGTCTGGGCGTTTCGTGCCAATTTACGAACCACACGTCGCAGCTTTGCCGAGCCACGACCGTGTGCTCTATGCTAGCTATATCCATGCTCCCCGCTGTTTTGATGCTGCCTTAGTTGTATTGTTTCCTCGTTACTCAATCCTTCGACACACACTCTTTGTGCTTCATTACACATGGCCATCAGAGCCAACGATCCTCATCCTTGCGCTCTAGTTCCGCTGCAATACCGACACTTAGGGAGGCTGACGCCCTGTGCTTACTGCATATCCGCTGTCTTGGTAATATTATTTGATAATTACCCACTGCGGCGACTGTGTTCGCAGTGTTCAAATTATATAAGTTATAATTTAATATAGGCTTGGTAGGTTGTTACTGAACCTTTCTGTAGGGGGTACAAACCCCTCCTTGTACTCCCCTCTCTTCCTAATCCAACTCTCTTCTCTCTCGACACTCTCGTCCAGCTCCTAGCTAAACCCCGCCGCCACATTCATGGCGGCCTTTTTCCTGCCTAGTATCCTAGCCTAGAGCTACTTTAACACGCAGTGCCAGCATGCCGAAAGCCACCCAAAAGTTTCGCGAAATGGTGGATCCGTCGTCGTCTAACGCCATGATTCCTGAAGAAAGGGTGGCAGCACTCGAAGAAGTCCGTCTCACTAACGAGTTGTATCTGCAGGAGTTGGAGCATCTGCGAGCTGAAACGGCCCAAGCTAAATCCGATATATCTGCACTACGGAGCCGATTGCCTCAAACACGACACGACACGATCGCGCCAACGAAAAACGAAGGACAACCAGAGCAAGTGACTCAACATCGTTCCGAAATACCTGTCGACAATCGACGACCAAGGCAGCTTCGTCCGAGGGATCGACGAACAATCCACCACCAACTATTGGACAAGTGGAAGTTGGTGAAGGGGTGACTATAAATCTGTCACCCTCAATTACCTCTCCAACTGGCCTGCAAACTGCAAGTATCAACATGGCGCTGGGAATTCTCAAGACGCAGAGGCCGCCCACGTTCGACAAAGCCAGTGGGGCAATTTGTCATTCAGTAGGCGGATTTTTTCACCTGAATGTTTTTTATGACTACAACCTCGTCGTTGGCGACGCGCAAAAAAATCCCATACGCTGTATCTCTCCTACTATAATCTCCCGGATACAGGACCCCAATGGACTTCCTAGAAATACCTTTAAAAATTATAGGGTGGACATTAATGTGTATGGAATTTATCCAGACCCGTGTGCAATTATTTTACACTATATTTACTTGTGTATTGCATGTAGATGCGTTCTATATGGGGAGTTATAATTGGAGCGCAAAAGCCCTGGATTCTTGTCGACAAAATTTGAAGCCACACGCTTCTTTTTCGGCATGGGCTGACGTGGCGCGATGGTTTTGTTACTGCCTTGACCTACGCGCTTGGTGCGAAGGTCTCGTTAGGGAGGAACCCTTTGAAATATTATAGAGAAGAACCTAAGCTCGTGGGTCTTAAAAAAATACAAAAAAAAAAAAAAAAAAAAAAAAACAGGTCCTCACGAGGACTGCCACAAAACCTGTTTCGATATCCGCATAAAAGACCCACGGACTCTATTACCGGCGAGCCCTTTATCCGAGAGATTAAGGTACGTGGATTATCGATGGATTGGTGGCAGCTGATAATTCAGTTGCAGGAGCCGGATATGACGTCGCGCGTAATCGGGCGTTTTTGCAAGACCAATCACGAAGCAGGAAGTTATTGCGATGTGGACGAGTATAGCACGTGGCAATCATGGTGCGCGGAAATTTGTCGCTGCTTCGAACACGCCAACGCAAGCAGTCAAGCGCACGACCGCCTTCGCACGTGGTGCCAAATCGGATCGGTCCAGGGCTATACTAGCGGCTTCATGAATCTATACGACCAGGTCGACTATATTCACCGTGACGAGAAGTTCGACAAATTCATCGGAGAACTTCGACCGAATCTACGCAGAGAAATACACGTCTGAGAAGTTACAGCTTTGATGGAGGCACAGAGGGTTGCAAAGCGGTTGGATTTGTTTACATACCAAGGGCAGGTTCCTACAACGAAAAATGGAACTCGGGGACCAATCGAGCGTGCCACCGTACAAGCTGTTAAAACATCGAACTCAACAATTACATCCGTCGTTGTTTCGGGTGTAACATGCCAGGACATTGCAGGATTGAATGCGCGGAGGAGCGGAAGAAGCGGAATCCGGGGCAGGGGAGTTCCAGCGAACATGGAAACACTTAGTATCAGTAATTAACCGGCCTACTACTGATGGAACAAGCTCGCCCATGACCGATGACCCTCATCAAGTGCTGGTACCGATCAATGCAATCAACCAAACTCGGCTCAATAAGGAGGGTGTAGCGGCAAATTACCCCATTCATTTACAGGGTAGGGTTTAAGGGGAATTTTTTTAAAATCTTCATGGACGGGGGAGCTAGCCACAGTCTGATCAGCCTCATCATGGTAAAAAAAGAAGTTACCCTTAGATTGTTGACTAACGGAGATTGACGCCCGACTAGTCGACGGGATCCCACTAGCAATAAAAGACAGGGCGAACAGGATTAGGGTACGATGTGGAGCTGAATTCAAATTTTCAATAGGGATGCTGGTAACTACGCTCGACGACTTTGACCTGTTGCTGGGACGAGATTGGCTGCGACGCTTCAATCTAAAATTTGACTAGACGACCGGCAATTGTTCTGTCAAAATCAACGGCCGTAGTGTGAGGTTACCAAAATGGACGAAGGGGATCACAAGGGGATTGACATAGGTGACCTCAGTGGTGATCGAATGCAGGGTGCATGGGGCGCAGAAGTTCTCGCTGTAGTCGTTCACGTCGTCGACATAGCATCGCAGCCGTCCGCTTTAGAGAAGCTGACAGCAATTGTGTCGGCCGGTCTAGCGCAGCTGATTCGCAGATTTCTGTAGATATTTCCAGATGACGTGCCCGAGGGATTACCACTGGAACAGGCGTTCGACCATAGAATAGGATTAGAACAGGGTATCCAGCCCATATTTCAACATCAATTTCGACTGACAGAGTCGGATCTCGAAGAATTACGGAAGCAGCTAGATTATTTACTTGAAAGGAAAATCATCCGCCCGAGCTCCTCACCATTTGCCGCCCCCATACTGTTCACCCCTAAGAAGGACGGCGGGTACCGAATGTGCACTGACTACAGAGCACTGAATAGGGTGACTGTCAAGTCACGTTACCCTATCTCCCGTGCACTGACGAGATGATCGACCAACTTCGCAAAGCTTGTTTCTTCTCAAAAATATATTTACGAGGCGCATAGTTGCAAACTAGGTACGGGAGTTTCGAGTATGTATTCATGCCCTTTGGACTGACGAACGCCTCGGCGACTTTCCAAATGAACTAGATCTTCAGTTCGCTGGTAGCTAAGTGTGTTATAGTTTTACCTAAATGACATCCTGATCCACAGCGAGACTCGAGAGTAGCACTTAAAAGACCTCCAAGCAGTTTTCACACTCCTGCAGGAGCATCGGGTGCTCAAGAAAGGGTCTAAGTGCGAGTTCTTAAAGTACCGCTCAGTTTTTTTAGGTCACACAATTTCCACTAAGGGCGTCGAAGTCAACTCGTAGAAGATCGAGGCTGTGCAAGCCTGGCTACCGCCTACAGCCAATCACGTACGAGTCACGGAAGTTACACCCGCT